CACAGTGAGGGAGGCAGTGGGGCTGGGGCAGGGACAGGTGCTGCCCACCTGGGGTGATCCAGCAGCTCATGCAGGGAGAAGTGGGGAGGGGCCTCCACTGCTGCAAGCAGTTTGCCCTGGGGGAGGCATGTGCCCCCCAGATCTGTGCGTGGGGGTGAGAGCGGGCTGCTGCTATGCGTTTGTGGGGTGCACCGACCTCTTTCTGGTGGCTGCACTTGGGTGGGGCAGGAGGCAACAGCGCTGAAAGGGAGCCAGTGCTGTAGCGCACGCCGCCCCCCCCACCCCGTTGCTACTGCCCACCTCACCCTGCCCAGGGAAAAGCCTGGTGCAGCCTGGGAGTGTGCAGCAGCTTCCCTCCCCCACCCCATGCACAGATTCAGGAGGCACATGCCGTCCATGCCTCCCCTGGGGGTTGGTGCGGTGGCAGGAGCCGCTCTCTGGCACCCTCTAGATGAGCCACCGGGCTGTGCCCTGCCCTGTCCAGGTTGGGCAACCCCAGCCCTACTCCCCTCACCACTGGGGCCTCTATCTGCTCTGACCCGGATGCTACTCTCCAAGCTGCCAGGCTGCATATCAGCAATCAGATGGGTATTGGTCGATTTTTATGGCTGGCCAATAATCGTCCATCTGTATCAGTTCAAAAAGTCTTTATTGGTGCACTCCTAGTTCTCTCCTGTTGCGGTCTCTCACAGTTCTTTGCAAAGTGTTTCATACTTTTTTTGTAGTCAAGAAATGAGTGAAAGATAAGAGCTGGCACTTTCTTGGGATTGCCTTGAGTCCTGATGAGATTTGACAGATATTGCTCTGGAATCTTAACTCTAACTTCTGTCTTGTACAGCCAAAATACCTGACACACTGATTGTTTTGGGGAGCAATGCATATTTTATTTTAATTTAGAAAGGCTTACTTAATGAAAAAGCAGAAGTTTCTAGCTCTGTCAAATTCAAATGTGATTTTGCTGCTTTTCTGATTTCCCATGTGTTGCTGCAAAGATTGTCCAGTGTTTTCACACCTCCATGCCTCCCAAATATTTAGTTGGGCTCCTTTCAGTAAATGAAGTGTAGCTGTTGGAGATTAGGTGTTCAGGTTTGAAAACTTTATCCATGGCAAATGCCTGCATATAAGCATTCCCATGGCTTTTAACTGCGAGTGGTTTAGCATTACAATTATTACTTTTATTGTACTCTCACCTGAACTCATTGCATATTTTAGGTAAAATGTTAATCATCAATATTTTACCTAAGTCTTGAGTTATTTTCAGAAGTGACTTTAAACTTTTAAGTCCATTAACTTAGTGGTGTAGGCATTTCTGACTACTGTATCCCTAGTTTAGTGTTCCAGTCAGTATCTGACATAATATATTTACTTTTTTTTAAATGTACTCCTTTTCTTACCCATAAACAGATTGTGTGTGTGTGTGTGTGTGTGTGTGTGTGTGTGTGTGTATGTGTGTGTGTGTGTGTGTGTGTGTATTATGCAACCTAGTAAATCCACTAAACAAAATAAACAGCAAGCCTATGAGAAATACCAAGTCCTGTTAAAGAAATTGCTTACAAATCTAAGCATCAAAGTAGTTTGTGCTTTTAAGGTTCTTATCTGAGCTGAACGTGAAATAAATGAAGTTCAGTAATTTAGCTTTTTTTAACACTGCGTAATGTGTACAAACATGGTCCTATCTATTTAAAAAAAAAAAAAAAAGTATGTGTATGTATATTTCTAAATCACCTAGCTTTCTTCTATCTTATGTCTTTGCAGCGTCTCTCTTCTGTAGCTCTTCGCCATTTGTAGGAAACCTTCAATTTCCCATCTCTCTCTGTTGAGAGAACACTTCTTTCTATCAGTACTTGCATATTTTGCCAAAAGAAGTCAGAGGAACTCATTTTCTATGTCAATTCAAATTTGTGGTGAAGAATTGATTACTAATGTTTAAATCTCCCAGATAAGATATTTTGAAATACCAAGGAAGGTCCAAGATGTTTTAAAATTAAAGAAAAGCCAAATTAGGTTATTCCTAATTAGAGTGGAGCCTGAGTCTGAAGAGAGGTTTAATATTCCTTTGAATATTGTAATGGTTTCTCTACTGTGGTACTGTTTCCTGTGTTTGTCAGATTGTGGCTAGAAAGACAACTCTCCATAAAAGAGACAAACTGAATCCAACAAATTCTGTGGGACAAGCTCTTTTTAATCCTTTATCAACACAATTGAAAGAACACTTTCAGCTGGTTTCTTCTGATCTTTCTGTTCTGTTTTGTTTTGTTTTTTTTCCCCTTTGAGGGAAACCGTTGGTCTTTAAGGTCACTGATGCTTGACTTGAGGTCATTCTAGTATTTATTTTTCACATTTTTTATCAGCTTGATTCGGCACTGTAACCACTAAGAAATAAGAATTGCTTATTTGTATTAATGTAAATTATTGTGAAGTATATGAGATTCCAGTATGGTCTAGGCTAGGGGTCGGCAATCCCCGGCACGTGTGCTGAGCATGGCGCGCACAGCCATTTTCCTCGTCATGTGTTGGGGCCGGGGAGGCAGCAGCTGTTTGTAGCCTCGCGGCTGCAGCTGGCCCCAGTTCTGGGTAGCTGCTGCCAGCCGGGAGCCTGAGCTGCTCCCAGCAGGAAGCTGGGAGGCTGCTGGGAGCAGCCCCAGCTCTAGCTGTCAGCAGCTACCCAGAGCTGGGGCCAGCTGCAGCCAGAGGTTACAAACAGCTGCTGCCTCCCCGCCCCAATGGGCTCAGTGCTGGCACTTGCTGCCTTCCTGGGGCCAGGAGACAGCTAGGCCTGGGGCAGGAGGGCAGCAGCTGTTTGTAGCTTCCTGGCTGCAGCTGTCCCTGGCTCTGGGTAGCTGCCACTTAACCCAGGCTGCTCCCGTGAAAGCCCTGCTGCAAGCAGCTGAGCTCCGTGGCTATCGGCAGCTACCCAGAACCTGGACCAGCTACAAAAATCTACTGCCTCCCGGCCCCAGCTACAGACCTGGCCCCAGGCTTCAGGGAGGCAGCACATACCAGCAGTGCTCTCTGCTGTGCTGCCATCACCACTTCCGCAAAGCAGTGTTGGAACCTGGTGTGGCAGGGTGCAGAAAGCTGCCTGCTCCCAGGTCCCCACTGCCCGGCCACACTTGCCTGAGTGCACAGGAGCGGTGTGGGCAGCAGTGCAGAGTTGTGCCCCTCGCTGCTGCCCCTACCTGCAGGGGAAGTGTAGCAGGGAGCAGGCAGCTTTCTGTGCCTCACGCTGTGCCCTGCTGGGCTGCATTCCAACGCTGATTTGCAGAAGCAGCAAGGGTAGCACAGTGGGAGGCATTGCCGGTATGTGCTGCCTCCCTGGGGGCTGGGGCCAGGGCTGGGGCAGAGAGGCAGCATATATTTACAGCTGGCCCAGGTTCTGGGTAGGTGCTGACAGCCACAGAGCCCAGGCTAGGGGGCATGGGTTTTGGCTGGGGGGCAAGGGTCATGAGCAGGGCTGAGGGGGCAGGGGCTTTGGGTGGGGGACAAGGGGCACAAGCAGGGCATTCTGCCATGTACCCCCTGCCCTCACTTTGTTTTTCTGGTATGCCAGCACTCCGGCACCTTCCAAGGTAGGCATTGTGGTGTTTTTTGGCACTCTGGCCAAAAAACGTTGCCTACCCCTGGTCTAGGCAAAAGTAATCTTGCCACTGTGAAGGTTCAGTGTTTGTTACTTTAGAAAATTATGGCTTGTTTGAATGCATCTTCCATACTTGCAGAAGTGTTTTAAATGATGATGAAAAAGGTAGCACTGGTCACCCCATCTAGTAAGGTTCCCTAACACTTCTCACTTATTAGCATCTAAAAGCAGGATTTTATAACTTTACCAAACTCGGTTACATTTCCCCTGTGTGAAGTGTTTGCTTCAGGCTGTTTGAAAGCAAAAACAAAGGAAGCCAAAAACCCTCCCAACAGGTTTGCCTAAGATAAGTGAAGGAAGAATGCTTTCCTGAAAATACCATTAGCACAGCTTGCTCCAGTCCAAGGCACAACCTAGTTTTCTATATGTTTTCTTCGCTAAGCTCCTATGGGCTGTGCTGGGTTTGAACACCTACTTTAGCAGCAGGTAGTACCTTTTTCCTGTGCTTTCAAATGATACCTTTTCTTTGCTATGCCACTACCCCGGCAGCATGGAGGAGGAAGAAGCAGAGGGGGTGTGAGCCAAATGTGCAGAAAAGTAATTTGGATTAAAGAGCCTGTGGGTAAAACTTGGAATAGAAGGTGGCATGGGAGGGAAAAGAAACTTGCAACTGGGAAGGAGGGTTAGGGTAGACTGGCTGTCATGAAAGGGGGATTGAGAACCACTGGGGAAAGTAAAAAAAAGAAAGGGAAGTGGGTTTGATAGAAAATGAATTACGTCATCTCCTCCCCCCTCCCCCCCGCAGTAGACTAATCTACCAGGTCTATATCAGTCTCTCTGCCTAGTGGAAGAGTATGTGCAGTGCCACTGAAACTGGATGCAGAGTCTATGAAATTAATTTGCAATTGTAATGGTGGGGGGGTAGGGGGAATGGCAGGAGCAGGACGGGTAGCGCGGAGCCGGCTTCCTCCCTTCCAGGGATTGCCCCACCACACAGCTTTAATCCGGGAAGCTCAGCTTTAACTCCAGAAGCTGCTCACCTGGGCAGACAGATGGGGGTCCGAGTAGGGGCTCAAGCCACGACCTGGCAGCCAACCCACCGTGGCCCAGTCGGTGGCTGAAAACCTCTGCTATAAAGCATGTGTCCAAAAGGATGAAGCTGAAATGGGACTGCTTAACTTCTGAGTGTTGGACTTCTGATTTTCCACATTCGTTAAGTGTGTGTGTGGCATTAAATATTTAGTGTGACCATCCACAAGGTTTAGAATGAAGTAGGAGTGTTTTTTTTCTTGGGGTCATTTCTTCAGGCTAATAAGGGTTGGTTTTAATTGTGGTTCTGTTCAGGGAAAAATAGAAATGATACTGTATAAACGATGGATTTCCAGAGCACAGACTTAAGCACTTGTTTTACTTTTTTTAATAGGAGAGGTTTAAATCCACCCCACAGAGTGAAGTCAATCTCCATGACCACATTCACACAACAGGAAATAGAATTTCTACAGAAACATGGAAATGAAGTAAGTGCTTTTTAACTTATGGAATTTTGTTGTTGCTGGAGTCTATCCTTTTATAGCTATTCAAGTGAACAGTTGGACACTAAGTCCAAAATAAATTGAACCGTTTAGTCATCTGAATGGGCCTTCTTTAAATAACTTTTTTTTTTTTTTTTTTTACCATAGTGAAACATTATGGAACTTAAACTATTCACTAGGGCTGCGTGAAATTTCAGCAGCCACTTCACTTCGGAGGAGTTTTGGGCCGTTTTGGCACCTGAAACACTGAATCTGAATCAAAACAGAAGGCTCCAAAACATATCTCCAAAACAAAACAAGGCATCCAGAACATTCAGGAAAACTTTGGAGTTTCAGAGCCGGGCTTTCAGGGAAACAGCTGTACACTGCTGCCCTGATGCGCGACTCAGCTCTGTAGAGAGATGTGCCAGGGGTCTCCTTGGTGCCACTGCCTGCCCTGGCAATGCGGGGCAGGCAGTCTTTCTGGCAGGTATACCACTTCTGGCAGGGGCAGTACTGGTTTCTGCCCAACGACCTGGCTCCACAGGGAGCAGAGATCCGGGGCAGGCAGTGGTGGTGAGGAGACCCCTGGCTCAGATCTCTGCTCCCTGCAGAGCTGGGTCGCACAGTAGGGACCAGCAGCCTTGCTCACCACTCTGCGCTGCTTTCCTGCCCCACAACCCAGCATGACAGGGATTAGAGATCTGCACAGAAGTCTCCTTGCCTGCATGGAGGGCAGCGGTCTTCCCCCGGATGAGTCGCCCACGACCCCATGCTGCTCCCTACTGGGGCCTGCAGCCCCCGGTCCCAAGCTCTGACCAGCTGGGCAGGAGGGCTGTGTGAAGCTTCCCTTGCAGCCTGTTCAAAACAGATTAGGCTGAAACTAAACAGGACAGTGATCCGAAACACCGAAATGAATCGCAGTCTTCCAAAACAGCCAAATCGGAAACCGAATCAAAATATGGCCATTTTGCACAGCCTTACTATTCACTAATATAGTGGGATCCAGATTTCTAGAACCAGAACCTTGCTTCCATGTTCAGTGTTCAGTTTGTCCCCATACTGAAGGTCTAATTGACTCCTTGAAATATTTACTGATACCTTTTTTTTTCAGTTTTGTTTTATTTTGTGTTTTTTTTTTTTTTTAAATGCTGCAAGTCCTGTATTGTTCGAGTGAGGCAGTATGTACTTTTCTAGTTCTGTTACAGTGAGGGCCCAATCTTTCTGGCAGTTGTACTACAAATTAGCCTCCTGTACCCTCCCTGAATGCCACTCTTATTCCTTTTCCTTTTTCTAGGGGTGTCAAATTTTATCTGCCCCTGTAGGTCAGATATGTGGTTCAGGACCAGTCAACAGGTTGGATGAATGCTGCTGGGCCAGCCCTGAGAGCTGGATCAGGCCCATGGACCCCCCCCCCATGCCAGACCTAGCGCATGCTTTGGCCAGTCTGTAACATGAACCATACTTGATTCCTGTTCTGGCCAATTGGGGATAGTGTGTCCTGGACTGGGTGGATGCTGGATCTGGCATGGGGAGGGAGGGGGACATGGACTGTCCCACCTGCCCATTTTGGGATATTAATTGCACGTGGCTTGTGTTCTGGAGTGGGTACTGTTTGTGACATACTGACAACCCCACTATTGCATGCCAGATTCAGTAACTTTTCTGGCCGATCCAGGATCCATACTGTTATGTGGCGCCTGCCCTAGAAGGACTGGAGCTGGTGTTGCATGTGGTTCAGGTCCTGGAATGGCTAGAACAGGCACTGGATCCAGCACATGGTAGTGGTGGTGGGAGGAAGGAGAGGAGCAGCCTGCACTGGCCCTGTGCAGGTGTCATGCAGTATAGGTCCTGGAGCTGGTCCACATGCAATGTGTCCCAGGCCTTGTACATGCTGGTGTGGTGTGTGGGTCAACTTGAGACCAAGAGATGGCACTGGGGACTGGAGTGATGGGGCTCTGCGTTAGATTTTTGTCTTGACCCCTGGCTTGACTGATCTGCTCAGCTTTCTGCTCCTTCAGTACCTCTACCACATTACCCTAATCCTCAGAATTACAGAATACATTAGCCAATTGCCGGTCAAGAACGAT